CACCCTCGACACCGTCGCAAAGTACTACACCCAGAGCGAAGGAAAATACGTGCGCCCCATGCTCGTCCTGCTCATGAGCCGAGCCACAGCCCTCACACCGCGGAGTTCGCGACGGGACTTGGGAATCGGGAGTCAAAGCGCGGATATCTCGATTACCAATCCACGGATCCTGGCAGATGAGAACCCAGATCAGAGTCCTATTAGCAGTATACGACATGACTCTGCGTATACGGCTGAAGACAGCGATATCCTCCCTTCCCAACGCCGGCTCGCGGAAATCACAGAATTGATTCACACGGCTAGTTTACTCCACGACGATGTAATCGACCACTCCGTCTCCCGCCGCGCCGCACCCAGCGCAAACATCGAATTCGGCAACAAAATGGCCGTCCTCGCAGGCGATTTCCTGCTCGGACGCGCCTCCGTCGCACTCGCCCGTCTCCGCGACCCAGAAGTCACAGAACTCCTCGCTACCGTCATCGCAAACCTCGTCGAGGGCGAATTCATGCAGCTCAAAAACACCGCCAGGGACGAGAAGAACCCTAGTTGGACAGAAGACACTGTAGCATACTACCTCCAAAAAACATACCTCAAATCCGCCTCCCTCATCTCGAAGAGCTGTCGCGCCGCCGCTATCCTAGGCGGTTCGAGTCCCGAGGTCGTGGAGGCGGCGTATCTGTATGGAAAGAACTTGGGCTTGGCGTTCCAGCTTGTAGACGATATGCTGGATTACACGGTTAGCGAAGCGGAGCTGGGGAAGCCGGCGGGTGCGGATTTGGAATTGGGACTTGCGACTGCGCCGTTGTTGTTTGCGTGGAAGGAGGAAAGTAGTTTGGGGAAATTGGTGGGGAGGAAGTTTTCGGAGGAGGGGGATGTTCAGAGGGTAAGTCTTGGAATATATGCCCGCATTGTGCGGGGCAGTTGAGAAGAGTGGAGTGAGTGCTAATCGTTTGACAACACAGGCTCGCGAAATCGTTTCTCAAAGTTCGGGTCTGGAGCAAACCCGCGCTCTGGCACAAGACTACGTCGACAAAGCCATCGAGGCTATCTCCTTCTTCCCCGAAAGCGAAGCCAAGACCGGATTGGTGGATATGTGCACCAAAGTCATGAAGAGGAGAAAGTGAACAAAAGACTCGGAATCATATAAAACGACACTCATCCAAAAGCAGCATCTTCGTTTGAGCCCATTTGCAGAATATCTGTATGAATACCATTTGCAGGTCGATACATGGCACGGTACGGCGCATTTCGCGATATGAGGACAACGGCATCCAGAATCTGACGAACAATGGTGGACATGTTTTACGGCATCGATGGTACTGGAGTGCTGGCACTACGATGCGGCAACTTTGCTGACGCGGGGTCTACTCGTTTCACGATCGATGCCTGGCGGAGATAACACTCTACTTCTGTATATATACATGTTTCACGAAATACTAGAGAGGGCATGGTCTGGGATTCCCATTGGGAGTCCAAACATATGTTTATATATCGTTTTCGAACGGCCGCACGACCTGTCCCTTTTCTTGCAGGTGGTCTTTGACTTGTTTGACTGTGTATTCGCCTCTGTGGAACTGGCAAAATGTTAGTCACTATATCCATGTTCGGAACGAAAGTAAGAATAGAAACTCACCATTCCAGCACCCAACGCAGCATCCGTCTTCGTCTTGGCAAACACCTCTTCGAAATGACCGGGGTGTCCTGCGCCACTACTCGCGATAACAGGGATCTTGATCGCGTCTTTGACGTCGTTGATGAGCTCCGTGTCGAATCCACTGTTGCTTCCGTCTTTATCGATGCAGTTTAGCAGAATCTCTCCTGCGCCCATGGCTTCGACTGCGGTGACGAGTTGTCGGACGTCGAAGTCGCGGCCCTCGCGTCCGCCCTTGATGGTGCACTGGTACCAGCAGTATTCCTCGCCGTTGGGACCTGGAGTTGTGGTTTTGATTGTGTGGTGGGGAGTTGCGTCGGGAGAAGAGACGTATACGCGCTTGGGGTCTACGCTGATGACGACGGCTTGCCTGCCGTACGCAGATGAGATGGTTTCTATGGCCGTGGTGCCAGAGAGTTTGCTACCTCTCGCGTAATATTCTTCGGCTGCGGTCACGGCGTCAGAGCCTATGCTTACTTTGTCTGCGCCGGACTTGAAGTACATGGTTGCGATGTCGAGGGCGGAGATCTTGCTTCCGTCTGTATCTACGGTATCGCGTATGCCTCCGCCGATCGTCAGAGGAACGAAAACGGTTTCGCTGGTTCGGCGCAGGATCTCGAGCATGGGTGTGTCGGCTACGGGGCAGTTGCGGAAGGATGTGATGTTCAGGAAGGTGACTTCGTCGGCGCCTTGTTCGTAGTATTTCTTTGCCATTTCGACGGGCTTGCCTAGGTTGCGCACTCCGCCGCCGGCTCCTTCCTTTTCGCGGACATCGTATTGGTCGCCTTTTGTTACTACGAGGTCGCCTTGGTCGTTGGTTCGGACGTCGAGACAGGCGATGACGCGTCTTGTTAGGCCTTCTTTTGTTTCGGCGGCTGATGGCTTCTCGGGTAGCTTTTGTGTCATGTTGCCATCCAACCAAGCCTTTAGGACGCGTAGACCTGCTGCGCCGCTCTTCTCAGGGTGGAATTGTGTGGCGAAGATGTTTCCCTTTGCGACTGCGCCTATGAACTCCTCGTCGCCGTACCGTGCTGTAGCGACTGCCCAACCATCCTTCTCTAACAGACCCTTCTCATATATCGCGGCGTAGGAGTGGACATAGTAGTACTTCGACGTTGGTCGCAGGCCGTACAATGAGTCATCCGTGACTTCTCCGGTGCGCGATGTGTTTGCGCTGTTCCATCCGATGTGCGGCACGCTCTTGTCTGCATCCTGAAACTTCCGTAATCGCATAGGAATGACCCCCAGACCCTTCACCTCAGGACTCTCCTCCGAGCCTTCGAACAATGCCTGCACACCGACGCATATTCCCATGAAAGGTTTCCCCGCCTTGATGTGTTCGCGGATGGGTTCGACGTAGCCGGCTTTCTCTAGCTGGGACATGCAGTGGCCGAAGTGGCCGACGCCGGGAATGATGAGTTTCTAGGGGCGATGCTGCATCAGCACTTGTCAATTGTTGCGCGCGTCTTGGTGAGAGGGCGGTGGTACCTCGGCAGAGGGCACGTCCGCGGGCGTCTTGACCCATTCGACGGTGTAGCCAACCTTCTCGATGGCATTGACGAGGGAGCGGACATTGCCGGCGACGTAGTCGAGTAGGTGGACTGTCGGCATATTCGTGGATGCGTTCAGAGGAATGATTGTAGGATGTTTGACTCGAAGAGTGAAAAGTAATTTGGATGCACCCCACGCGTCATTGGAGGGGCAGTCACGCTACTGCTAGCGCCCGCTGCACCCCTGTCAAATAATTCTTTGGATCTTCATCGTTGTCGCGAAGCCATCGCAAGCACTCACGATCCACCACCCACGACAATCCCATATCTGCATCGTCAATATGGTGCGCAAACTCAAGCATCATGAGCAGAAGCTCTTAAAGAAGGTATACATCTCCTGGTCCTCGTCTTCGCCGTTGCGCATCGCTGCCGGGACCGCCGCGTGAACAACCGCCATTCTCGCCATGCCCAGCGGCGCTCTCTCCAGAACATGGGGAGACAAATAGTTCTTGAGAGGCACTAACACCTTTTTTAGGTCGACTTTAACACTTACAAAAGCGACAATGACCACCGAGAGGCAGCAGTCATGCGCCGCTACGCAATCCAAGGACGCGACGACTACCGAAAGTACAACCAGCTCGCCGGCTCATTGCGCCAACTCGCACATAGAATCGCCAACCTCGATCCATCAGATCCCTTCCGCGCCAAGCAAGAAGATCTGATACTGGAGAAGCTGTTCTCGATGGGCTTGCTGGGAACTGGTGGCGGCGGCCGTGGAAAACTATCCGACGTCGAGCACAAGCTTACAGTGAGCGCCTTCGCACGGAGGAGATTGCCAGTTGTCATGACCCGGCTACGCATGGCGGACCATGTACAATCAGCTGTTACACTCGTCGAACAAGGGGCAAGTACACTGGACTCCGGATATGATTTCTTTAGAAGTCATCTCTCTAGACACAGCTAGGGGCTAACAAACACACAGCACGTAAGAGTTGGAACCGATGTCATCACAGACCCAGCCTACCTGGTCTCGAGGAATATGGAAGACTTCGTCACATGGGTTGACTCCTCCAAGATTAAGCGCAACATCATGAAGTACCGCGACAAGCTGGACGACTTCGAACTCGAGGCCCTATGAGGTTTTACTTTCTTCTTTTTTAGCGGCGTTTGTGGATACAGCATTTGAAGGCGTTACGACATACTGGCGATATCCGGCCATTGCAAAAATTTGATCTTTGTTCTTCCACTTATACCTACCATCGCAGTTCAAGTACGCAGCGTATCAGACGATACCACGTCTCATCCTACGAGAACGAGTGAATGCGATCACATGTCCTTTCTCAAGGGCGTTCGAATACGAGAACAGAGATCGGAAGAGATGCATTGGGTGGATGGCACATCATGCGCTCGGAGGAACACCAAAACCACCACAGCAATGCAATCTCCAGTGTGTAATTCTCTGCTGACTGTTGCGCACACAGGACAACGATAGCCAACACCGGGTATACTAAGTCGGCATTGGCTATGTTTTTCCGACTGAAGGAGCCGTGACCAATCATGTTCCCTCACTGACGCCATACGACATGCCGTTCTTTACCAAAACCGGCAATAACAGTGCTTATGCTCATATCGGTACAACGCCCTCAAGTGGACTAGAATTTTGAGTCGGTTGCATGTGCATAAGTGCCATGTCGCTATCTCCACGCATGGGTGGGGATGTTTGGGTGAATTCTGGGGTAGCTGACGGATCACACTAGGGAACAGCGGGACGGTATTTATGACAGTGCTGATCCTCCAGCTTTGGATTCGGATATTTTAAGTACTTCGTGATAATATATTCGATTGTCTTTAGTCACGCAATGACTGCGAAAGGAGACCGCGAGCCCTCGGTGGCACACATCGAAGCGCTCGAGCGCAGCACGAAGACATCGGATCACGACAACTACATCCCCAGCAATGACGCCAACGAAGAGATCGTCCGCCATCTACAAACCACCGGTGAAGATGTTGGCATGACCTGTGCGTATTGCCTAACATCTGGACTGGCCACCAGTCATATCTAACTGATTCCAGTTCGCACATTGATGGCCGCCGTGTCCATGGCCATGTGCTACAACGCCTACCTCTTTACCCTCCTCATCCCACCAGCGATTCTCACGTACATCAATGCCGATCTCGGTCCGGATCCTAGATACACCTGGATTACGATATCGTGGAACCTCGGCGGTGCCATGTTTGTCACTGTTGGTGGACGACTTTCAGACATTTTTGGCAGGCGATGGTTCTTCATTGCCGGAGCTATCATTCTCATCATCGGCAGTATCGTTTCAGCAACCGGACAAAGCATCAACCAGATGATCGCCGGTGGTGCCTTGTTTGGCTGCGGCTCCGGGTTCCTGGAAATGGCATTTGGTGCGGTCCAAGAGATCGTGCCGAGCAAATATCGCCATGTTACTATTGGGCTGTTCGACGCTGCTTCCATCATAGCACAGATCATGCCTTTGGTCAGTTGGGTCATCATCAAGCAAACAGGCAACTGGCGCATTTGCTACTATGTCATGATAGGGTTCCAGGCTATCAACCTTGTCCTTCTGTTCTTCTTCTACCACCCGCCATCCTGGAAAGACAAGAAGGCTGAACATGGAAAGACTGCTGGACAACTGTTACGCGAATTTGACTGGTTGGGACTATTCCTATTCTTGGCCGGGTGTACACTTTTCATCGTTGGTGTCAGCTGGGGTGGATCTCAGGCTCCTTGGGTTTCTGCGACAGTTCTCGCGCCTATCATCATCGGACTGGTGACCTTGATCGGTCTGGGATTCTACGAGGCCTACTATAATTTGACGGCACCACTATTCCCTCCGCGTCTTTTCAGAGCACTGCGTCACTTCACTGTTCCGATGCTGGTCATGGCCATAGGCGGGTAAGTTACGCCACTCGAAAATACGACCTATGCTGACGAATATCAGGATGCAATACTACTCAAATGCAACTCTATGGCCACGCCTGTCCCAACTCATCTACGCCACTGACGAGATATCCAAAGGCTTGTACGCCGAAGTCCTACCTCTCGGCACCATAATTGGCGGCATCATCGTGGCTTTTAGCAAAGTTATCGGACACCAACGATGGGTCATCATGTTTGCCGTTGCCCTACAGACAGCCTGCGTCGGCGCCATGTCCACATCTACAATGGACAATCCCGTCAAGTCGATCATTTTGACAGTCATCATCTCGACATGTACCTCTGTCAACCTGTTGAACGGCATGGTCTTGGTCGGCTTCGGGATCGTTTACCAGGAAGATATAGGCACTGCAGCCGGTCTTGCAGGAACCTCTCGCTTGCTTGCCGGCGCCGTCGCTACCGCCATCTTTGGAAACGTCACGAACAACAAGTACGGAGACGCCTTACCTGCGCGCGTTCGTGCCAATCTTGCCCCCTTCAATCTCTCCTCGGATATCGTCACTAGATTGATCACCGCGTCGAGAGCGAACACAGCTGCCGGGTACCAAGCTATCCCAGGTATAACTCCTGCTATTCGAGCTGCAGCCAGTTTAGGGAATAAGCAAGCATACTTGGAGGGTGCGCATTTGTCGTATCTCGTGGCCTTAGCGTTCGGTCTGCTCGGAGTGGTCGCTGCCTTCTTCATTCCGTCGGTAGACAAGAGAAAGTACACCAGTAAGACCGTTGCTGTACAGAGACGCGACAGGAAAGAGTTGCAGGAAAAGAAGGTCGCGGGGACTGTAGGGCCATGAGTTCGTTTGCTCGTCGAGCTGCGTCCTTGTGAAAAGTTTTACATCAGCAATCACATGCGAAGTACTACCGCACCATCTACATAACATCAGTGTCGCTTCCAAAAGACACGATCCCATGCTCAATCTTTCTTCTCGCCTGCATTTGCACCAATCTCGACATCCGTCTTCGCCCAGTATTTGCTAAGATCTCCAACAGGCGGACATACAGACCAGCGCATCTCTGCAGCCATAATGACGAAGAGCATGTACCAGCCCAGAAGGCCTACTATGAACAGGAGCGCTCCACCAGCCTGTACGCATCAGTAATGACCCCTCAAAAGTGCCAGTGTAACTCACCTTCTGCAACTTCAACGCCTTATCAAAATCCCCCGTACTCAACGCCCAGTACGCTCCACTCAACACCCAGGCCCCCACCGTCACAAACCCAAAGATACCCGCAAAAACCACATTAATCCGTATCGTAAACAGCCAAAACGTTGCTAGCGCAAAACCCCACACAAGCAAATACAACGCAATGACCGCGTTCATCTCCTTGCTCACCATTCCGGCTGCTGCGTCGCCGGAAGGAGAGTATGAGGCGGCGAGATTGAGGGTGGGCAGTTGCAACATGCCGAAGGAGAGCCAGAAGACGGCGAAGAGACCGCAGACCATCATGGGGAAGAATTGGGCTTGGATCCAGAGGAAGATTGTGGAGAGGGTTAGGAGGAGGGGGCCGGTGAAGAAGAATATGCCGCTGGGGGAGGGTTAGTATGGGTGGTAAGAGGGATATGGGAGGGGTGAGGGGAGTGGGATGGGGGATGGGAGGAAGGACGTACACGACTGCTTGCATTCCGGCGGCACCGCCCCAGCCCATTAGTACCATGGAGAATGTGAAGGTTGAGATTACGAATCTGCTGTCTTCAGTATCGATACCGTCCATTGCGTATGGAGAATCTTACCCCAAGAAGCCCAAAGGTGTTGCATTAGCATATTTTCCGACGTTCTCATTTGCATGCGGTGTCTTCGGCGCGAGATAGAGTTTCTCGAAGAGCTCTGGGCTGATCGAGATGTTTGTTGATGTGTGAGCGAGATGTGGCTCTTTGTCGATTCGATCGGAGTCTGTGCTATGCGAGGTCACTGTTGTTGTCGCCATAGTTGGGTGGATTGGCTATGTTCGCAGTAGTAGGGTAGGTGATGCAGAGGGAAGTAGTGTAGTCGGACAGTAGCAGTACAGTAGCCTTGCAGCACAAACATCGACTCAGGGTACTCCACGCTTATCAACTCAAACACTTCCCTGCCGTCTGTCGCGCACCACTTCTCCTCCACATGCACATGCACGGTGGGGTACACGACTTCTCTCCCGCCCGCTTCTTAGTCGACCACTCACCCATCTCACTCCCCGTCTCCCAAGCCGCCCGTCTCGGTCTCCGTGTACACAATCCTCTCCTCCTGTTCGTCAAATACCGCCGCCACGGCTCGGTCAGTACGAAGCTATATCCCAACTGGCTGGATATATATCACTATTACGCCGAAAAGCCTCCTTGGCTACATCTTGCTTGTGAGAACATAAAAGCGATGGTCAGCATGTTGAATGCGGTGGTGGAGGTCGGGTGTTCCCCGCTCGCTACCCTTGTGCTGGGCTTACCCGGCAATTTCTGAGACGATGGTGATTGGCTGGGACGGGACGGGAGGGTCTTGGGTGTGGTCAGCGGGGACGGGGGTGTTGTGCGATGGCCGGATGGAGATTGGTGGGGTGATCTGGGGGTGGGGATCGAGTTGTGACGGGACGTGATGGGATGCGATGGGAGGAGGATTTGGGGTTGCGATGGGCGCAGTGATGGCTACTCTACCTAGGCATACATGTGTATAGAGGTGCAGCAACAGCAGCTTGATCAGTCCTTTTTCTCTAATTCCCAAAAAACGCACCAAAACATTATCCACAAGTGTGGCCTGCGTAGCAAAAGCAAGACATAAGATGCATCCCCCCGACAATTATTGCCTTCGAGTGAGCGTAGCTGCTCGTCTCCATTCATGTAAGCCTTGTATCCTTCCAGAAATGGGTATCGACCAAAATTACTCTCTCTCAGGTACAGTGGAAAAAATCAACACTAATATGCAGTGTATGTACATCTCTTGATGTCGCAAATGAAGTAACAGCCTGATTCCCCAACGCGAAGAACGAGGACCAACCGCAATCTTCGGCCTGCGATTAAGTAACACCTTGACTTATAAGCCCATAACCTATTGCGTCTGCTCTCGCGACACCATCTCCGTAAGGATGTCATCCCGCCGCCGACATATATGTTCTGTATTCGCCACATGTTTCTCCCATCCTGTCATGTAACCCCAAAAATTGTTATCCTTCATGAGTGCCCCGGCTTGCGAGTTTGTGAGGACTGCCGACAGTCTCATGCGCTGCAGAGTAATCACGTCGTCCTTCATCACGGACCCCTTCTTCTGGAACCTTGAGTCGTAAGGCACCATAACCGCATTCAGCATGTCGATATAACTGCCTGCAAGTGGATGGAATTCGCCACTGAGGTGCGCGACCCGAACCGTTTGCCTAGGAAAGAGATCGCTGCCCCATCCCTCATCCACGGCAAAGGCTGGAAACTGGTCGACGACGGGAACGCTTCGATCCCTGACAGAATCGCCTTTCAGACGCAAACCATTTCCATGCGACGTGGAGATGATCAGACCCAACATGCAGTCATCCAGCTTTTCCACAATGATCAGTGGATAGGACTTGGCGCAAATGTAACCGAATTCAGTATGGATGTCTTTAGAAGATGAGGACCAGGACGGACGTAGAACGGGGAACCAGCCAATGTCGCCGAGATTGAACTGTTGCTGATCAACGGGCTTGACATTTGCATATTGTTCTAGGCGAGGAGAGAGTGTGAGACTCGACAGTCTCTCGTCCAACTTGACGATAGCGGTCTTGGTTTTGGGCCTAGAGGTTACAGCACCAGGAACTGTACCCATCTGGATACCTCCGGCGGAAGCTTCCACCTGGGGAGGTATATCTGAGATCCTGACTTGCGCAGCGGTGACTGTGATAGTCGTTGGTGCGGTGGCGGTAGCGACTGTGGTACTTGCAGGTTCAGGTCTAATGGGGACCCATTTGCCAAAACCTGGCACTTCGAGATGACTCTTCGCTGCACGATTCGCCGCCATCATCGTATCACATACTCTTGTTACAAGGTGCTCATAATCGGAAACGATACTTTGAGTCCTGTTTTTGTAGTGTAGGATGTCTTCTTGAATGTCCTCGATGTCCTGCATATCCATCGCCGCATCGCGGCTTGCGTAAGATCGGAGCTGCAAACGTCGTTTCATCGATTGCAGCTTCTCTTGAAGCTCCTTCTCAAAACCGTTTCGTTTCTTTCCGATTTGTTCCAACGTCCGCATGTTGGCGAGTAGATCATCCCGAGCGTCTGCCTCTTCAGAGACGACTCGCGTCAGTTCTGCGATCGAGATTGTTGGTACACGAGGATCTTCGTGAAGACGCTGAGTATGTTGCCTCGCCGTAATACTGGTATACTGTGCTTCCAAAGCCTGTAGGCTTGTCTTGAGCCCATGGATTACGGTGTTGAGGAATGACTTCCACTCCTCTCCAGCCGTGTCGCCTAGTCGCGCAGCCGCCTGCTCGTACAATGCTAGCGAGAACAGTTTATTTTTGATCCCCCGCTCCAGATCCAACAGTGTCGTCGATCCTGGTGACATTGCGGGATGATCCGACAAATCGCTGTCAAGGGTGGAACTCGTCGCGAAAATCGTATCGTGTAGAGGGCTTCGCTTCCGAATCGGTAAGAGATATCTCCTGTGATGGAACTAAGGCGTAACGCGATGGCCGACGGAAAGTTTTCCCATTGTCCGCTCAGTGTGCGAGAGTGCGTGCGCAAACGGCTGTTCGCTTATAGAAGCCGCCTTCACTTGCGTGACAGGGTACCGCAACTTGACCGCTTTTCAATGAGCATATGTAGACAACGAATCGAGCATCGATAAGACGAAGGAGTTCCCTCATACCACAAACCATCTCTCGTAGACTTCTGGACTGACATGGCCAGCCTACTCTCTCATCGCCGCAAGCCTCACCTCTCACCTCCCACCTCACCTCTTCACCATCCTCTCCTCTCTCACACCCTTACCACTCCCCTCCTACAAACACCCCTCAATAGCCCTCCGCACCTCCTTCGGCCTCGCCCCGGTAACCCCCTCCATAATATCCCCATCCTTAAACACACTAAACGACGGCATACTCCTAACCCCCAGCTCCTGCGCAATATCCTCACACTCCTCCACATCATACGTGTAGAACTTGACATTTGGGTACTCCGCCACCATCTTTGCGACTTCAGGGGCGACGATGTGGCAGTTCTTGCACCAGGTGGCTGTGCCTTCGAGGATGGTGACGCCTTCGTACATGACGGCTTTGAGGTACTCGGCTTTGGTGTGGAGGGTTGGTATGGAGGGGGTGGTGGTGGGGGTTGAGGATGTGGATGTCATGATTGGGGAGTGTGAAGGTGGTACCTGGGGAGGTATGAGATGGGAGGTCGAGTCAAGATGGGTGTTTGGTGTTGTTGATGGATATGTTTGGTGAGGCTGCATGGCTGGGGTGGAGATGTGTGGGGAAGGAGACGATGATGTTGATGACGTCATCGCTTTCCGCGTGGAAAGAACGCCGACGCGACGGTCCGTCGTCTCCGTTCTCATGCCGCTTTTCACGCATGCGATAGCCGACTATGAGCTTCGATTTCTTAGTTGCGCCTGAAAGCATACTTGTACAATACGATGGAGTACACGAATAAGCTGTAATCCACTCAAGCAGCACTTGGACGCGCACATCATCAATGTTGAAAGACATTATATTCTTATTTCAATATGGTATCATAACTTCATCTCTCCCCAAACAAGGCAGTAGAGAGTTCCCTACTCGCCCTTACCCTGCTTTCCATAGAAAGCATCCTCACCACCAAGGGCCTTGAGCGCCTCAGCAGACTTCTTCTTGGACTCTTCGCTAGTGTCTGCATCACGCGTTAGTCCCTCATCTCATCGAACACGCAGCTAGGTATCTCAGGGAATGCGTACTGGGGTTGCTCAAGTTTGCCTTGTGACCCGAAGCCTTGTTGCTGATATCCTCGGTGGTGTTGTTGATGTTCTGGTCCGCCTCGCTGAGACCGGGGGCGGTGATGCCCTGGTGGGAAACTCCTTGGCCGGACATGTTTGATGGGGGTGTGATTTGTAGGTTAACTTGGTCGATGTGTGCGAAGTTGTGATGGAAATAGATGTAGAGTTTGGTTGTGATGAGTGGTTGATGATGTATGATATATCCTAGACACCAGCACCCAGCCTTATATAGGTACACCCGACTTCTGCTTCTGCCCTGCTGCACAGCACCTCCACATTACGTCTTCAGCGTCATCTGTTCGCTGGACCACCTATGTCATACCTGTCTTGGCACGAACTGGCCTTCTCCACCCAATCCCAGGTACAGCCGGCGTTGGCGTAGCCACCGGTGGGCGCTAGAGAAGCCGAGACCCGGGTACGGGGGTGTGGCATTGTCTCATCTCATCGATGTACCCATAGTTTTTGATACAATCAAAACCGGTTATCCGTGATAGCTGTGTTGCGTTGGGTGCAAACGTTGTAGGCTTATGACCGCATAGGGTGGTTGTCGATCATCGGGAAGGTTGGTCGGAAAGACGGCTCTATCGGCCCTTCTTGAGGGAGAAAGGTTGGCGAATCACGAGGGCGTCAGGGATGGGAACATTGAACTATGATATATCTTAAACAAGGGCTTTGGTGTTGCTGGTGGTAGAGCAAATGTAGAAAGAGATGGGCTTGGCTTTGTATGACTGAAATTTCTACGTCGCGATGAGCTCTCTCTCTCTACACATATGGGACTGCGACACTTCAATGTCGTGGCAACCTCTCAGTCTACCACACTATCAAAGCAAGGCGCTCTTCCCCAAACACCATCTATCCTCTATCTTACAACTCACCATGCCCCTCACTCTCCCTCTCAGCATCCTTCACCACCTTCTCCCTCCTCTGCTCCTCCTCCTGCACATCCACCACCCCCTCCGCCTTCCCATCCCTCTCCTCCCCCTTCACACGTCTAGCCAACCCCGCAATCTCCCCATCATAAACATTCCACTCCGGCACCTGCCTGCGCGCCCTCTCCAACTTCGGCTCCTTAGTCTGCGGATTATTACAAAGATCAATCGTCTTCGCCTTGTGCAAATCCTCATCAGCGCACCAAGTCTCGCACCACAACCACTCTTGTGGTAAACTGTGGATGGGGAGGTTGAACTGCATGTTATTGGGCAAATCTTGGTCGAGGTTAGACAGACTGTTGGGGTCCGCGGAGAGGGCGTGGTATTGCTGGCGGAGGCGGTCGCCGGCGGCGAGTTGGCGGAAGCGGGTTAAGTCTACGACGTACAGCGCGGAGATATGATAAGGGCGACCACGCAAAAAGTTAGCCCAATATCCTGTTTTCCAGAAACGGAAGCCTTCCATTTCGGTGCGCGAGTCGCCCATGGGTGTGAAGCCGTAAGGGGCGCCTTCTAGGTCGTGTGTAACGAGTTCGTACATGTCTGTTCGCACGATTTGGTCGGCGTCGACGAAGATGACTTTTTCGAGGTCGAGCGGGAAGAGGACGTCGAGGAAGAGGATTTTGTAGCCCCAGATCTCGCGCTGCTTTTCGGTTTGGCCCCGCAGCCAGTGCGGCCATTTGTAGGTGACCATTTCGTATTCGAAACCGTACTCGGCGGCGATGTGCGGGAGGAAGGATTTGAAGCTGGGGGACAGGAATTGCTCGATGAACCAGAATTTGACGGTGTGTTTGGTGTGCTTCATGACAGATACCATCATGATGTTCAGCATGCGCTCGTACAAGTGGCCTGAAGCGACGGAGAAGATGTTTATGTCTGCTTGCGTGCCCTTCTTCGCCGCTTTGCCTCCGGAGAACAGGTCAGCGCCCTTTTGCAGGACCTTCTCGGAGTCGAAGTTGAGACCAATCTTGCCTAGGAACTTGTTGACCTTCTGCGCGCTCTTGCCAACCAGCTCAGAGGCGAGTGACTCTTCAGGAGCGAGCACATCAGTCTCTTCCTGACCTGGCTTTCGCGATAGTCGAGGGAATATTGTCGCTCCTTGGAAGCTCATGAGAGCAATCTCAGTAGTCTCGTCACCAGGCACGGGTGCCCAGCTAATAGGACCTGCACTATCAAGGCTGAAAACTTCCTGAGAGCGACCGCTCTTGAGCTGAATGTTGTAAAAGCCAGGAGTAGCCTTGAACTGGAAGTAGCCGAGATTAGCCATGATGATAGTATCCGCGAAATGAGGATCCCGCTCAGTAGCAAGGACAACTTCAGCACCACGCGGCGGCTGACCACCATTCGTAGTGTCACGAGAGTGGCCCTCGATGAGGATGTTCTCCAGTTCATAGACAGCGGTGACATCGGCACCAGCAGGAATGGTACTAAGCTTGATGTTGTCGAGATCATATACAGACTCTTTTGGAGCAACTAGCCAAGAGGGTGGCACATCCATGCCAAGGTTCAGCAAAGCCTCCTTGGGAATGCCATAGAAGTGGGTTCCAAGGCTTCCGACGGATCCATCGGCGACAAAGGATGGTCGAGCTTCGAGGACGTATCTGTAGAAACGCTTGACAGGAAGCTCTTGAAGCATCTGCTTGGGGTTGAGGAAAAGCTTGAGGTGTGTGCCCTCCATGTCGCTGAGTACTTTAAGGATTGGTACCCACTTCTGTGCGAGCTCTGTCGCGGGGTCAATTGAGGCCACGATCTGGAAGACAGCGTTGTCTTCGTCACCCCGGAAGATAGCGGTGTGCTTGGCAGTCCAGTTGTTGTAAGTGCTCATCCTCAGGGTTGATGCAGTCTCGAAAATGCCTTCTGGAACGTCCGACACGGTGGAAAGTGCGACCAGCGACTGGATCTTCGCAACATCTATTGGAGATTTGATCTTTTCCATGAGTTCAAGATCGGCAAGCGCTTTGTTCAACGGCTCAATGCGTTTGACCTGCTCATAAGTGACAAAAGTTTCCACGTCATCGTATGAGAATCCGTAATCATCTGGGATGGGTCCCACGTAGCGTCCGTTGACAAGCATGCCGTTCTGTCCCGGTTTCAGACCGAACGCGTCGTAGATTGGCTCAGCAACCTGCCAGAATAGAGTGGAGTTGGCGGGAGTTGGTCTGTAGTTGGCATTCCGGTTCATGATCCCGGAGAGGGCTTCGGTAGTAAGCTTACGGTCAGATTTGATGTAAGTCTCTAGAATGTCTTCTGAGGCGTTCGACTGCTCCGCACCGGCTTTCGGATTGTGTATAAGAACGGCCTCTACGTTGGAGTTTGCCTCACGGAAATCTGCCAGTGCTTTCAGAAGAGCAAAACCAGCCTCCGAGTCGAAATCCGCCACGAGCGTGACGTGAATCCAGTCACTCTTGCTAACAGACTCTGATGCATGAATACGCGGCATCTTGTTATAAGCCTCGCCATGGGTCTCTTCAAATTCAGCCATATTGATGAGCGTGATGTTCTTCTCGTTCTCCGGGATGACAAGAGGATTGCGCTTAGCAGCAGCTGAGGCCAAGAAATGTTGTGGAACCCAACTATCGCTGTTGAAATTACCGTTGAAGACTGCTTGTTGAATCTGACGAAGATCCATGCCGACTCTTTGGCTGAGTGTTCCGAGCCATTCTTCGGTCGCTGGAATGGGTACGCCGTTGACAAAGACGGGGGCTTTGGGGCCTTCTGCTGCTAGACGCCTCAGGTACTGTTTGGCACCTGTGATGCGCTGATCCAGCGTCTCTGACTTCAGTACGTCATCAAAGGCCAAAGCCTCCTTTCCTTCGAGGAGCGCGGTTTTCTTGACTGTCGCGTCGAAGGTGGCTTGGTCTGCATGCGCCAGCTTCTTGCCATCTGCCAACTGAACTCCATGTCAGCGCAACATCGACTTCACAAGAGATTTCAACACTTACTACTTGGAGGTATTCGATCACAGCAGGTAGTCCGTACGCGTCATGCAAATAGTAAACTACCTTGGCCTGCTCAAGAGCACCAGATGTAGCAGTCTGAGGAACGATACCCCAGCGCAGTGGAATACCACGCCTGATGAGACTGAGGATAGTCTCAAGCATGGTAGTGACATCCTCGGACGAAGTCAAGTCGACAGCGACGATGGCGTTGTGAATGTCTCTGCGACACGATGGCAGCTGACCAGGATACGTTCTTTGCAGTAACTGTAGTTATGGTTAGCTCGCAATCGATGATATGGATGAGCGTACCCACAGCCCTGAGTTCACTTGGCCACCCTTCATACATCGGGTCGTTTTCGATGTCGTTCAGCCACAAGATAACGTTGCCGCCTTCGGTAGCATCTCTGAAGTCATAACGTTGAGGTTCAGCATCCGTCTGAGTCTGGGCGATGGAATCATGCGACAATAGCGAGATGACTTCAGAACCGCTTAGACCCTGACTGCGTATCCCGTTGATCAATTTACGTTCACGTCGCAGATGTGCTAACAGCGAGAACGGGTTCACATCGCGGGCCGGGATCTGTACACCGTTGATCCAGATGACATTGTACCCCGTAGGGAGGAGTTGCTCGCGGTTCTTCAGATGTTCTTCCAGGAAGTCTTCCGACGCGTTGTGGGCTGCGATGATGGACGAGTATTTCGGAAAGTCTTGCACGAGCTTCATGAGGGTATCCATGGGTTGTTCGCTTTGTGTTACAAAGCTGGCAGCCTTCAGCCCTAAATCGGATACCTCGTCCTTGGACAAGGGCTTGAGGTCTGCGACGTCTTCATCGTCGTCTAGGCCGGTGCCCATTGGCTTTTGAGAAGCACTCTTCTCTCCCTGTTCAGCCTGCCTGTCGTCTATGACGATGTAGTCGGTCCGCTTCAGTTGTAGCTCCACACCGTATCCGTTCACTACCAGCGGCGTTGTTGGTGCCTTTAACGAAGGCTTGTGCCGGACACGGTACGAAGTCTTTCCTTGTTTGGCTGTGTCGCTCAACGTCTTGTGCCATTTCTTGAATCGAGGAGCGGTGATATCGGCGTATAGAATCGCAGGTAGAGCCGAGCTGTTTCCAAGTATGCGGTCGAAGGGTAGTTTGTATGTCCTGTTTGAGTCTCAGTGTCTGCCATAGGCCAGGCCATTTGTACGTACCGCTCGCTCTCAATGTCTCCGAAGGGCTCGTCTAGGTGTACGGAGCAGTATTGCTTCCCGTGAAACGATGCCCAAATCTCGCATTTCTCGTTCTGCTCCGCCTTCAGTGAAGGCTCCACCGATGTATTGTAGAACTGGTAATGTGCTTCTATCCGCGGCGCAGCCGATCGGATTGAGAGAGCGAGATCGAAGGAAGCGAGGGCTTCAGGCTGGGTGATGTGTCCATCGCTTTTCAGGAGGTCCACAAAGGCTGTATACAGCGCCTGCTCTGTGGTCTTCTCGTCGAAGTACCCCTCGGATACGCGGTCGAGGATGGGGTAGTATGCCGTCGCATTCTCTTCTGCAGCAGTTTCTCTGGGAGGAGTTAGTTGTAGCTATTGCGTTTGGCACACCCGAAGCTTACAATAACTCTACTAGGTATGGCGCTGGATTGAAGGAAGCCAGAAGAGCGACGCTGACACCTGGACGAGCCGCATGCGCGCCAATGTGCCTGAAAGCGCTGAGCACTAAGAGAGCTTTCGCGCTCAGCATAGAGGCTGAAGCTCGCATCGTGTAAACCCGCCCTAAGCCCGGCAGGAATCGTGGTGGCGTGTAGCAATGACGAGCGATAATCGTGATGTTTCGAAAGTTCAACTCCCGATCTCAAGAAGTTGCAACGTGTAGCATAACGTCGGATTGAAGTGGCCGGAGAACGAGGCTTGAGTTTAGCCACGTGATATGAAACAGTTCAGCGCATCGGAAATCTGCAGTGAAAACAGAAATGGCAGTTGCGTATGGTACAAAATAATTGCTCCTCTACCGCGTCCCCTCCAGCATTTGGAGCTCCAAGTGTCAGGTACCAGATCCCTGCAGCCATGATGGCGCTAACGCGATAAGGCCGCGGCTCCCTTATCGCGTCAGTCCCGCCGCCGAACCTCCGTCTGCCATCACACCCGACGGAAAGCTTCCGCTCTTCACTTGCCCGGCTGAATCTAGACGCGGCTCTTGCGCTGTGGAAGAACCATTAGCAGGAGTTTCCCAATCCATTCACCAAATCATGACATGGCTACCGCCGCATTGCTGCCTACCTACGGAGTTGCCGTGGGCTGCGCCAAACTATCTAGGTACTGAACATGTACTAATCAGCCGCTCACGCCCTACAAGGATGCAAGGCGTAGCCAAGAGCTGCAGTCAGACTCTACATCGAGGAGTATGATGTCGCAGCTACTATCGTCTTGCCGGTATCGGTCTGCCCTTATATAGCAGGGCTTGCCGCCTGGTATTCCCTTACTCAAAGGATATGTAGTGCAAATCTCGACTCATCTTCCATCAATTTTCCCCAAACGTCTCATCATCCTTCTTCTTCAACATGTCACAAACCGCAACATCGATCGAACTTGTGAGCTACCCAGAGACATCGATCCCAGCCCTCACAGCAAAACCATTGGGCAATGGAGGAAGCAAGGATACGCCGTCGATAGCGGAGGATTTACGTCCCATCAATGTGGCCCAGGAATCTTTCGCTGCTGAACAGCGAGATGGTCCTGGCAAAGGAACGACGGCCATCGTCTTGGTGACAGTTGTTTGTGTTACCATGGTCAGCTCCATGCTGTCGGGTGTCATGACTGTCACTCTGCCTACGGTCGCACGAGAACTAGAGCTCGCACCTAGTGTACTCTTATGGTTTGTAGACATATCCCATGTTCCATACTACCTACTGACGAGTCTAGGCCAATCTCTATCTACGCTTTGACCTGCGGCTGCACTCTACTCCTCCTCGGTTCCGTCGCCGACGTCGTTGGCTCCCGACCTATGTATTTGGTAGGATGTCTTCTCCAATCCGCCTTTACACTAGCATGTGGATTGGCGCAGACCGGAACACAGCTCATTGTCTTCCGTGCCTTCGCCGGCGTAGCAATCTCCTTCTGCCTCCCCTCGGCTGTCAGTATCATCACGAGCACGTTTCCAGAAGGCAAGAGCAGGAACATTGCATTCGCATCCATGGGCGGTGGCCAACCCATAGGCTTCTCATTCGGACTCGTGCTTGGGGGTATCTTCGCTGATACCATCGGATGGCGGTGGGGTTTCCACCTCAGTGCGATCACTAACACGATCGTCTTTGTTCTTGGGCTGTTCGGTCTGCCAAAAGTCGACAACAAGCAGCCGCATGTCTGGTCTCGCCTGAAGAGTGAAATTGACTGGGTCGGCATCCTCTTTGGAAGCGCATCATTGGCGCTCCTATCATACTGTTTCGCGTGAGTGTTGATCTCACATATCTGATGGCTCGATGCTAATGTCTTTAGTTTGATCTCCGAAGAAACTGCTAGGATCCGAGAGCCCACGACACTCGGTCTGCTCATTACTGCGATTGCTCTCATCCCGGCATTCATTTTCTGGGTTGGCAGGCAGGAACGACTGGGCCGGCCCGCTATCATCCCGAATTCACTCTGGCGCAACCGCATCTTCAGCATCATCTGCATCGGGGTCTTCATCACATGGGGAACTTTCAATGCGGTGGAGTCGTACCACACGCTCTTCTTCCAGAACGTGCAGAAGCTATCGGCAATCCAGACGTCGATCCGGTTCCTACCCGGACCAGTAGCCGGGGCTCTCGCCAATCTGGTAATGGGCCTGATTGCTCACCGGGTTCGAGCTGACTGGGCGGTAACCGTCGGATTATTCTGCACGACTCTTGGCGGGCTGCTTATGTGCGTCATACAGCCTGAGTGGTCCTACTGGAGCTGCGCGTTTCTTTCTGTGTTCTTCAATCCCATTGGCGCGGACGCTTTGTTCACGGTCTCGAACCTTGTCATCACCTCAGTGTTTCCAGCGCGGACGCAGGGACTCGCAGGCGGCGTCTTCAACACGGTAGCGCAGATTGGCAAAAGTGTAGGGCTCGCGACCAGTGCTGTCATCGCCTCTAGTGTTACGGAGCATTCGGGTTACGTTGAGAAGCAGAGTCCTGCAGCACTTATGGAGGGGTTCCGTGCGGCGTTCTGGTATCTGTTTGCGTTGAGCTGCGCTACGGGGCTGTTGTTGGGGTGGGGGTTGAGGGGAATTGGGCGGGTGGGCATGAAGAGGGAGTGAAAGTCAATTGAGACGGAAATAGAGATTACTGAAATAATTCAAAGTAATGTTGCCCTGCCAAGCGTTACACCCGGACGGGTCATATGGTGAAGGGTAGATGTGATGTGTAGCCCTGTTTCACGTTGGGTCCAGGGCTGGCACATGCAGATCCCGCCTAGTGACATCTGGACGCGCAACCAGGCCCAGGTACGGGAAGATCCACCTTTGCGTCGAGGGCGAGCTGACGACAACGAGGCCGAACGCACCCCCGGCGCCGCCTGCATCCCGCGCCATGATCATCACGTAGGTCCTGGTCTCGAACACCTCTCCACAACCATCAATGAGCCCGACCTACTAGCCGTCCCGTCACCCACCATGCTCAGCGGACCCCCGAGGGCCATCCCGCTCGTCTTCGTCTTCCTCGCCGCCGGCCTCGTGTGGTGGTATCTCCACGCCATCCCGTCAATTCCAACATGGAACTCCGGGAGCAGTGCTGCCCACGGCTACCGGCCCTCGCTGCGCGGTGACCCACTCGACTTTGGCCTGCCGCTGCGCTTCTCAGAGGCGCAGACGAAGCCGCCGGGCAGCAACTACACGTACAAGATCATCGTGCCCAAGACGCAGAAGGAGGACATTAGCTGGATGGACAAGGAGATCCCCGATGCGCCGCTGGTCGTGTACGAAGTCGACAACCCCAATGCCGAGCACAAGATCCCCAAGAACAAAGGGCGCGAGGCCATGGTATGTATCAGGTCGTTACATACAGGTGTTGTAATTGTCCGCTAACTGACCAGGTCTACCTCTCGTACATCATCGACCACTACGACGACCTCCCCGACACGTCCATCTTCATGCACGCCCACCGCCACGCCTGGCACAACAACCAGCTGCTCGGCCTCGACGCCGCGCAGATGATCCAGCGCCTCAACCACGAGCGCGTCGCCCGCATGGGCTACATGAACGTGCGCTGCCACCACGACCCGGGCTGCCCGGACTGGATCCACATGGACCGCCCCGGCGGCGACTTTGACTTCTTCCACAAGCCCGAGGAGATCTACTGGCGGCGCAACATCTGGGAGGAGATCCACCCGGGCGCCCCGATCCCGCCTTCCATCTCGGGAATCTGCTGCGCGCAATTCGCCGTGTCGCGCCAGCGCATCCAGGAAGTGCCTATTGAGCGCTTTATCCACTACCGCAAGTGGCTCCTTACAACGGGCATGGACGACCAGTTCTCCGGCCGCATCTTCGAATACATATGGCACTACATCTTCACCGGACATGAAGTCCACTGCCCCGCTATGAACACGTGTTACTGCGACGGCTACGGCATCTGTTTCGGCGGCCAGAAGAAGTACGACGAGTACTTCAAGAAGCAGGATGCGCGCAACGAGAAGTTTACCCAGCTGGATAAGTTCAACAAGCGCGAGGAGGAGGCTAAGAAGGACGGCAAGGACCCCAATTTCTCCAAAGAAGAGATTGAGACTATTAATAAACTGAGGACGGAGATTAGTGGTATGGATAGAGAGTTGGATGCGCTGAGAGAGGACGCGAAGAAGAGGGGTGATGATCCTAAGGCGCGGAAGGAGGAGACGGAGAGTTGGGATTCGTCGCATATCTGGGACTATGCTCCGAAGAACGGTTAGAAGGACAGTTATTCTGGTGGTATATGGTTGTGGATATCTTTGGGAATGGGTCTATGTCTCTGTTCGCGGAAACTGCATGCACAGGGTAGGCGTTCATGGAGGCGTTTTCGAATAGGGCGTACTTTCGTATGGCCTGGCGAGCCTGCGTCGTGCATGAGGGCTTGCATTAGATTTCACGTCATGTTGATAGTATTTAACAATGTGTTGTTCTTCTCTGCTGAGTGTGGGAATTATGATCCTGGTGAGGGGTTCTCTCACCTGTCGAACTGGCCGCTGAATGTATTACGACTGGTGGTCACAAAACGAAGTCTAGCACCCTGCATCTACTTTTTGTATCGACTTGATATGTGCCACATGCGGTCAAGGTAAAGTTGGAGGTGTCCACCCGCTCGCGCTTCCTGGTGGTGCTGATCTCCACAACCACCCGTTCGTACGACCAGCACGTGCTAAACCAATCCTCATCATCCTGCCCTGCCTAATTGTTTCCACAACTCATGCCCATCGCAAGTAATCTTCCGCCTTTATCACAAAGGGTCTGATACCAACTCACCAAACAGGCGATCCACCTATCCAACGACATGTCCCACCTGCCTCTCCAAATGCCGGTGGCTGGTGCGCCTGCCCCGGTGCGGCTCTGCTGCTGCCTTCCCTAATCGAACGTCGCTACCATACAGTCCGAGCGCGATAATCTCCGCGTCCTCTCTGCCGTGTCTCTCTGAACCGAAATGTTTGACTGCTGTCTGAGACAGCGAATTTGATCGTTGTGCCTGGTGTCTTGTTGTCTTTATTGTGGCTGGGTGTTTGACACGCGACGCGTTGGTGACCTTTGTTGGTCGCAGTCACTGCAAGAGGAGGAATTCACGGGCGCAAAGACTCACCCTCACCCCCGCATTCACTGCTTTTCAAACAGTCACGAGTGCTGCCTAGGGAGGAAGAGAGAGATAGCAGATTCGATCGTTTCGCGGTTTTCTGACTCCTGTACGACGCGCGCGACACTTCACGCATACACCGAAATCTCGCCGAGAATCACATCGACATTGCGAGCGCACGATGGATGCGACAATCGGTGACAACATCACGCTAGAAACGCCAAAGTCGAAGAAGCGGCGGCAAAGCGCACAGGAAAGCTCACCAAGACGACGAAGCGAACCGAAAATCACCTTGCCGGCGTTGAGTGATTTCGCCAGGTCACATGTCGCAAACTGGTCTCCGCCTGTACCTGTCACGCCCGAATCGGAAGCACTGCGAAGCCTGAAGACTGAATGGAGACGCCAGTCCCGTGACGACCCCGTCTACGATGGGCCGAGATCCGAGAAGCAACTTCTGATTGTGGACCTGCAAGATTACGAGATCTACCGAACACCAGAAAGCGAATGCAGAGCGTATGAGCTGACAAGTCTGCACTACCTGGAAGTTTCGATCGCGAAGAAGCTGTGCTTTGATGGCTTCATCTGCGTGGGATCGACCAAACTCTATGTGCATGCAGTACCAATTCAGGATAGCTCTGTGGAGGGCTACGGAGACGATGAGAACTCTGGTGTTACTACTTACGTACAGTCCACGTTCGCAAGTAAAGACAAACACTACGATATCTGGTACAGACTTGCGAAGCCCGCTCCAGGCTACAAAGAGTTTCAGAAATCGTTCCTCTGGGTAGCGCAACTGGGAAAGCATATTATCGACTATGTGGACGGTCAACCCATGGGATCAGTCGGGCTCAACGACTTCCGCGAAGACTTCTATGACTGGCTCTCTCTCCGCTTTGGTCAATGCGCCGACTTCCAGCAATGGCATACTGATTTCAGACACCAAACTGACTTTCGCGTCGTCGTACATGCCTACATCGAATACTTCTACAACCAAGCGTTCAACCTTCCGAACTCGAAACAGCTGCTTGCCCATCCCATTTGGAGCGAGTGCATGGCCAAAGGTTTGACGGCGGTGAAGGCGCAGAAGCAGATCATCGAGCACACCATTGCCACGCCAGAGGTCTACGATTGCTTCAAGCACATGTACTTTGGTGAGCAAATTCAGGCAAAACGGCCTACTGAAACGGTCAGGATTGAACAGGAGCGCAGGAAAAGGAGGCTTGGGTTTGCACGAAGTTTCTGGGCACGGCAACCGACTACTCCGCGACGAAACGTATGTCAACCGTATGGTAACTCACCAGTGAAGGTTGGCGACGTCGTTGCCTTGATTCCTGATGAGGCAGACGCAACCGTTTGGCGCAACACGACATGGGAATGGCTCGCATACGTTCAGGGTACCGAGCTCTTGCAAGATGGAACGCAGAGGTTGTTCGTGCTATGGATCTATCGACACCACGAGACCAATATATTCAAGGCAGAATATCCCTACGAGAACGAGGTCTTCTTGTCTGACAACTGTAACTGCTCTGAAGGAGAGTTATTGTCCACGGACATTAAGGGAAGATACGACGTAGACTGGTCACCCTCTACTATCGACGCCGAGCGCTTCTTCGTCCGACAAACCTACGTCACGCAAGACAGTGCATTTGTCAGCCTTCGGTCTTCACACAAGACTTGCACATGTCGAAAAGACAAGAACACACACGTCGATGATTACCGTCGAGGCGACACGGTATACCTAGCAAGGACTCGGAACGGAGACAAGTTTCTAGATCCGGTCGTATTCCAACACCTTGACCGCACCAAGGGGACTGTCAGAGTGCGAAGGCTGCTACGACTGGAACGGGACTGCAGAGAACTAGCAGCCAAAGCTCGGCGCTTGAGTCTCTTGGCCAATGAGCTTGTTCTTACGGACGAATACGAAGACGTGTCCATGTCCCGCATCCAGAGGCGCTGTTATGTCAAGTTCGTGAGTAAGTCTGACATCCAGGACGGACAGATACCTTTCACGTACAACCGTGGCGGTGCTGGTGATCTCTGGATCCTGTCTATGGGATTGACTGGTATGGAAAGCGAACAGAAACTCATCTTTCTGCGGAATCTTCCGAAGACCTTTAATGAGGGCCCTGACATGGCCTCTGCTGAATCATTGAGAGGAATGAGCATCTTCAGTGGCGGCGGCTCGCTTGATCGAGGCCTTGAAGAAGGTGGAGCAGTTACCTTCCACTCCGCTGTCGACTTCAGTCCCCATGCCATCCACACTCAGCGAGCTAACTCGAAGAGCCCGGAGACGATGCATCTGTTCTGTGGCTCCGTCGATGATCACTTTGACGCAGCTCTCAAGGGTAATAAACATGACCTTGTCCCTCGGGTCGGAGAAGTCGACTTCCTTGCTGCTGGATCGCCATGTCCTGGGTTCTCAGCTCTTCAGCATAATATTCTCAGTCCGCAGTCCTTGAAGAATGCGTCACATATCAGCACCTTCTGCTCGTATGTAGATCTATACCGCCCTTTGTACGGTATACTCGAAAATGTCGTCAACATGGCTTCAACGCGGACTGGATTTGAAGACCAGAATGTCCTATCTCAGGTTGTTGCTTCCCTCGTCTCAATGGGATACCAATGTAATCAGTACATCATGGACGCTTGGAGTTACGGCAGCGCGCAACAGCGTTCACGCCTGATCCTCACCATAGCTGCACCCGGACTTGAGCCAATTGCCCAACCTTGGCACACCCACGCGCGGCCTTACGAGGAGACGGCGGGACGAAGCTTAGGTTATTTACCCAACGGACAGAAATTTGGTGAACGCGAGCACTACCCAACGCCTTTTCCGTATGTACCAGCGGTGTCCGTTGATGCGGGATTACCCGACATTGGCAACGGTATTGTCCAGACTTGTATTCCGTTCCCAGACCACCGCTTACCGCAAGTACCAACGCGTAAGCAACGAGCATTGGTCAGATGCATTCCACGACAACCTCCGGGTTGTGGCTACGTCGAGGCAGATAGACGCGGTCTGATTCCGACTTCGCTACGAGATCCGAGAACCGACATCGGGAAAGCGTATAGGAGGATCAAAGCAGCGGGACTGGTACCGACTATCACAACAAATATAGTCATCCGAGATTCTCGAAATGGCGCTACATTGCATTGGGATCAGCATCGATCTATCAGTGTGTTGGAAGCTCGTCGGACGCAAGGATACATGGATGAGGAGCCTATCATTGGTTCGCTGCCGGAGCAATACAAGATCGTGGGCAATGGTGTGGATCGTAAGGTCGCTTTTGCCATGGGTCTTTCTCTACTCCAGGCCGTGCAGAAGAACGAGTCAGGGTTCACTGCGAACGGAACGACGCAGAACTCAGCTGAGGTGGTGGACGTTACTAGCGATGCCGAAACAGCCCACGTTGAGAAGAGTGTTAAGAAGCCCAAACCTCAGTCCAAAGCACACGATATGTCGCCGTTGCAGAAGGAACCTTGCCGCAGGAGTTCCGGACCGGTGGTGATGATACCTGGACGACGGCAAACCGATGGCGCTACTTTGACTGTGAACAATACTCCGGGGCCATCTACAAGAAATGCAAGCATGCTTAATGGCGCAACTAGCGAAATTTCACAGACTCCACCCATATCACAACCTAACACCTCAGCCGCTCAGAACACCGGCTTCTTCTCCCGACTTTCCAAATCTCTCGCCGCCGGCGTCGGTCGACTCTCCCTGTCGAGCATGTCGACTTCGTCCTCTACCCCGACTTCCGCACCAATCCCCGCGGTGAAACGCAGTCGAGAAGAGGATGAAGACCCTTTCGCCCCAGAAAGCCAGAGCCGCACATCAAGAGAGCGGCCCAGGAAACAGCCCCGAGTCAGCGCAACGCCATCAGCACAAGACGGGATCAAACTTGAAACTGAACCTCGTAGGAGGAAGTCTGTATTCTCGCATCGAAGCGGCAGTGTGAGTTCGACGAGCTCGAGTAAGACTCGTTATACTCGTCATTCAGGGTTGTCGGTGGAGTATGTGCCTAAGAATTGGAATAAGAGGGTTGAGGTGGAGACAAGAGGGGTGGTGTTTGAAGAGGGGTTTGTGGATGCTGATTAGTTGATCTGATATGTTAAGGGGGGAGTGGAAGG